GAATTTGGTAAGGTTCATTTTGACAAGAGTCATTTTCTGGTGGGCCAGTGGGGCCAGAAACCAGATAGGGAAGATTAAGTAGGAAGTGAAGAAGTGAACAAAGCGTATGCTGGCAATTTTTGAAAAGCTTGATTATAATGTAATTTATATTTTTAATTCAGTATTACTATTTTTAAACAAAATGTACTCAAAAATTTTCAAGTGAGCATTTTATAAGTGTTAATGAATTTCAAAGACAGCATGAAGTACATGTTATTATTACCACAACCACAACGGGGTGGAATTCCACAATATGTTAGAATCCAAGTTATCCCATCCATTAGGATAGTGAGAGAAAATTTACAGCATAGTTTCTCCTTCTGCCATTTTTATTTTGGAGTAAACCACTTACCAAAAACTAGGCAATAACAAGAGTAAGTAGGGTCATTTTTTAACTTCCAAGGGAGTTTTAACATACATTCAAAAGAATATAAATCATTTATTTACTTGAGAAATTAAAGCAAATTACTGGCGAAACTGGCAAGTTGCATTTCTACAAATTTTATTTTTCAAAGTACTTTCGTAACTGTCATTACTACATGATGATTCACAAATTGAGATTCAGGGCATTCATCTTTCTCAATATTCTTTTATGCTCTAACTGGAAGGATATGCCAAGTCACAGATTTATGAAACGTATTTCCTAGGATCAAAATCTTAATTAATAGTAGAGAGTTAGGACTCTTGATTCTTAATTCAATGCTTTTAATCCTGAGTCTAGAAATCACTACAATCAGATTCCACGAAAATTTACAGAAGCAAAAAATAATATAAACCAAAGTTTTAATGATCTCAACAAATCCTCACGCCAATGGTAATACCTGAATTGTTTGCATCATTTAAGATTCTATGAATCTAAATTACTAAGAAATAAAGAGAGATCTAGAATCCCAGAAAAGACAGTTTATAAGCGTAAGTTTACAAAATAAATGGGCTCTTAAAAAGTTGCATGTAAGCCCTGGCTGGTGTGACTCTGTTGGTCAGATGTCTTCCTGTGCACTCAAAGGTTGCCAGATTGATTGGCACATGCACAATTTCAATTTTGGGCTTGATCCCTGGTAGGGAGCATGCAAGTGGCAGCTGATCAGTGTTTCTCACAGTGTTTCTCTCTCTTTCCCCCTCCCTCTCTCTAAACAATCAATAAAAATACGTTTTTAAAAAGCTACATGTAAATACAATTTTAATAAATTATCATGTTGCCCTGGCCAGTGTGGCTCAGTTGCTTGGGCATCCTCCCATGCACCAAAAAGTTGCTGGTTAGATTCCCAGTCAGGGCACATGCCTGGGTTTCAAGCATAATCCCTGGTAGGGGACATGCGGTAGGCAGCGATCTATGTATTGCTCTCACATCAATGTTTTTCTCTCTCCTTCTCCCTTCCTCTCTAAAAAAAAAAAAAAAAAAAAAAAATTAAAAGTAAAAATATCCTCAGGTGAGGATTAAATAAATTCTTATGTTGAAGGAACTACATAGTTTATGAAAGTAATAGTTTTTAACCCCCTGCTTCCCTTTTTATTAATTAGCACAATCACTTTCCTCCAACAAAATATTTCATGGGTTGTTATGGACTGAACTGTGTCTCCTCAAAATTCACATATTAAAACCTTAATTTAATCCCCAATGTCTGTATTAGAAAATAAGGTCTTTAAAGAGAGAAGATAAATGCAAATCAAAACCACACTTAGACAACACTTCACACCCACCAGCATGGTTTAAATCAATCAATTAATAACACATAGCTAAGTGTTGGTGAGGAGGGATAAGTTGGAATTCTCATACATTTCTAGTAAAAATTTTAAATGCGCAGCTGCTTTGAAAAAGTCTGGCAGTTTCTCAAAAAGTTAAATATAGAATTATCATATAACCCAGTAATTCCACGCTAGGTACATATTCAAAAGAAATGAAACCACATTGTCTACCCAAAAACCTGTACATAAATGTTCATAGCAACATTATTCAAAATAGCTAAAAGATGGAAACAAACAAAATGTCATAAACTTTTAAGTGGTTAAACAAATGTGGTGTTATCCATACATACACTGAAATATTATTCAGGCATAAAAATAAACAGTTCTTGCCCAACTGTATATCAAACCCGCACCTTTGGTGTACAGGACAATGCTCCAACCACTGAGCACCAGGCCAGGGCAAAAGAAACAAAGCTCTGATACATGCTACAACACAAATAAACCTTGAAAACATGCTAACTAAAAGAAGCCAGACACAAAGGGCCACATATTATATGATTTTATATATATGAAACATCAGAATAGGCAAATCCATAGAGCCCAAAATAAATTAGTGGTTGCTAAGGACTCAGGGAAGGAGTAGTAACAGCTAATGGCTATGGATTTTCTTTTTGGAGTGATGAAAATATTCTGGTTTAGATACTGATGACTGTGCAACCTTGTGAATATGCAAAAACACACCCACTGAATTATATACTTTCAAAGGGCAAATTTTATTATATGAATATATTTCAATTCAAAAAAATTTAGCCATAACCTTTTGTTATGACCGAAAAACTGAAAGGGTTTAGAATTTATAAAATCACCTCATTCCATTTCTCAGATTTTACAAAAAACTAAGACACAAGGGGCAAAGCAGAGCTGGGATTATTATACAAGGTATTTCTTTCTCAGTTCTAAGAAACAAACCCACTTTAATAAACAGATCTATTTACAAAGGACTATACTCTTTAAATATGTTAAAATCTATGTCCTGAATTTCTACCACCTCTTTTTAAGCTCCAGGTCCCTGATTGTTAATCATTAAATATTTTGTTAAAGGCAAAACAGCAACTTCGCAGGTATTTAAAAAGCACTTTAGCCCTGGCCAGAGAGGCATGGTTGGGCGGCATCCTGTGCATCAAAAGGTTTCCAGTTCAATTCCCAATCAAAGTACATGCCTAAGTGGTAGGCTTAATCCCCAGTAGGGGATGAGCAGAAGGCAGATGATCCATGTTTCTCTCTCTCCCCTTTCCCTTCCTCTCTCTAAAAATAAAAATATATTTTTAAAAATGGGG